GAAGTAAATATTAATTGGTTACCACCATTAATTGAACCTATTGCATTAAATTATAAAACAAGTGTTTGTCCATTTATTGATATTATTAAATGGGAAACATTTGCATATATTGCACAAGATGAAGGTTTGAAAAAGATTATTACAAAATTATATATATTGAATACTTTTAGGTGCTCGTGGTGCATTTGATTGGGGTATGTTTTATAAACGATTACCGTTATTACCTTCAAGTCAAGGAAATGCATCAGAACCATTTGAGTACGATTAAAATTTGAGTATTCAAAAAAAGTATTCTTTTAATTATAGTAATCCAGTCATGGCTGGTGGTCTTTTTGCAATAAGTCAAAAATGGTTTTGGGAATTAGGTGGTTATGATGAAGGTCTTGATGTATGGGGTGGTGAACAATATGAAATGTCATTTAAAATCTGGCAATGTGGTGGACGTCTTGTTGATGCACCATGTTCAAGAGTTGGACATATCTATCGACAATTTAATCCACATGGAGGTTTTAGTTTTGGTGATTATTTATCTCGAGTATGCACATATATATAGAATATTTGAGTTTTTTTTATTCTCATTTTCTTTTATTATAGAATCATAAAAGAGTAGCAGTAGTTTGGATGGATGAATATGCAGAATATATTTACAAACGAAATCCACAAATAAAGTAACACCACTTGTCTTTTCAAATTAAACTTAAAAAATTCGTATTTGTTTTCTTGTAGAAATGTAAATGCAGGCGATGTTACAAAACAAAAAGCATTACGAGAAAAACTTCAATGTAAATCATTTAAATGGTATAGTCTTAAAATTTTATTATCGGAGATATATGAAAATATATATGAATAGGTTTATGGAAAAAGTTGCATTTGATTTACCGGAATATTATCCACCAATTCCATTACCTCCATTTGCTCAAGGAGAAGTAAATAATAGATGATTATTCTAGATTTTAATAGTTATTCTTTAAATTTATTTAGATTCGAAGTATGGCTGCTTCTTTATGTATAGATACAAAACATGGAGGAGAACAAGCAACATTTGGTCTTGAACAATGTCTCAAAGATCAACCGGAAAAAAATGGTGAACAAGTATGCTAAATCTATAACTCATTTTTTTAGAAATATTTTTATTTTCCAGGAATTTGAATTGAGTTGGCGACAAGATATTCGAGTAAAAAATCGTGACTTTTGCTTTGATGTACCTAACAGAGAAAAGCGTGCACCAGTTATACTATATAAATGTCATAGTACGTATAAACTGTTGGTTGTTTTCTATTTGTATCGATTTTATTTTCTAGATATGCGTGGTAATCAACATTTTGTTTACGATGTATCTAATTTTCATATTTTACATGTTGCAACACATTTGTGTTTGGGTTGTGATATAGATAGTAAAATGATTTTTATGGAAGAATGTGACGCAGAACGTAAGACTCAAAAATGGAAATTTGCTTCATACAATCAAACATTAATTCTCAAGGAAATGAATAAGTTTTTTTAAAATTATAAAAAAAGAATTTTTTACAA